GGAAGGGAAGGGAAGGGAAGGGAAGGGAAGGGAAGGGAAGGGAAGGGAAGGGAAGGGAAGGGAAGGGAAGGGAAGGGAAGGGAAAGGAGTAAAGAGCCCAAACCCTGCTGCAGACTGGCACTGTTTTAGCAGTCCTAGAGAGCTTTGCAAGAAGAGGAAGCAGATGGGAAACACTAACATTTAGATTTGTGATTAGGACAACAATTTGGCTGTGGGGAAGGACTGCATGCCCATTTTAATGTCATTTTACTTCGAAGTGCAGCTACTTCATTTTGGAAAATCTCTGCACCACTGCTTGCTGATTTTTCCTAAAAGCTCCTAAAAATTATGCAACTAGGGAAAAAAGTTAAATGCCTATGCACATATCTGCCAGCGTGGGGACCACTGTCCCTGCCCTCGTGGCACGGGTTGTCCATGTGTGGCTTGCTCCCGTCACAGGACATGTCCTACAGACAGTATACCTTCAACATAGATACTGAGCGAGAAGTTAAAAAAAAAATTTTAAAAAAAAAAAGTGAGAGAACTCTGGGAAGCAGATAACAGCTGTATTTTCACTGATGTTTTTCTGTCTTGGGGACATCTAATACTAATCCTGTTATTGCTATAATGATGACTTTGGTCCCAATTCCACTTTCTGCAGGCAAATTTACATTTTAGGGTGTTTTTTAAAAAACAAATGCCTGTCATTTTGATTTTTATTTCAGTGTGCCTTTGAGGTTGAGCAAAGTTAATCTATCTGCTTCCCCTCACCCTGTCCTAGCAGTATCTCAAGCTGGTTGACTTGACATGCATAGAAATAGGGTACATAGATATGGGCAGAATCGCAGTTAGATGCACATTCTGCTCCAAATTCAGCAGTCATTTGGTTCATGCACCAGGAAGCAGGAAATCTTCCAGATCAAACATGGAAGAAAAAGATAAACGATATAATGAGCCATTGGAGATAATCTAATCTTCATGGTCTAGTTAAACACGCGGCACCATGATCACTAAAAACAAACTACCTATCTGGAAGGATGAATGTCTCTGAGCCAAATTCAACCCAAAAAATCCATCGCATCCTTCATCAACTGCCGGTCTTGTACCAGCCTGACAGAAATTTAATTCAAGCTGGCTCCTGAAAATAATTATTGTATTTTAAGAGTAGTAATCATTGGTCGGGACATGATTGAATGTGTCCATGCCTATTGACTTTTTCTATGATTTATAGCTTTGTTTAGTCGATATTCCCATCGAAATTGTATAATTAATTATAAGTGGGGCTGTCAAGTCTGCAGGATGGAGTGCCCTGATGAGTATTTGGGAAGATTAAATTTTCCTTAGCTGTGCCAGTGCAAGGCCTGGGAATTTTCACAGCACTGTGGCTGTTGGATAAAGATGTTTTCTGTGTGTTTAGCAGCTGCTTTAGCTCAAAATCCATTGATTTTTCTGAGTTTTTTTTTTTTTTTAACAGCACAGTGTCTCTTCAGTAACAGTGGAATGTGTACAGATGTGACAAGACCTGACAAATATTTATTATCAACAGGCTACTTTATCATTGTCCATGCACAGTTATTCCTTCTTTTTTACATTGTAATCAACAAAAAGAATCTTAAGATACATATAGAAATGGATATGTTTTATGAAAAATATGATACAAGCTATCAGTTGGACAGAAATTCATTTTGAAATGCATGCGGTATTCGGTTAGGTCTATTTTTTTTTCTGAGCTTCAGCAATTATCTATATTTTTTCCCTCAAGGTGACCATACTTTTATTTCAAATAAAAGAGCAGCCAGCTTTATGTGTGTGTATGTAGCAGTAGGGGAAAAAAAAGGGAAGCTCTATTTTCAAGCCATAGCAATAATGAAAAACTACCTGAATAACATATTCTGAATTGCACATCGAGGTTGCACCATGTCGGATGAACTGGGGTGTCGCTCCGCAGTGCCTGGCTACTTTGGGGAAGCTGTTACAGAAGGGAGTGAGAAGTGTGGGGCAGCAGGAGCTGCAGAACATGGGGTTATATAGCAGCAGATAGTGCTTAGATAGCATATAGTGCATATAGAGCATTTAGTCTCTATATAATTAGCATTATATAGCATTTAGTGTTGCTTGTATTACAGTTGTTGCTTTTGAAGCAGAAAAGCTTGGAACTGCTAGAGGTGCAGGTGGGAGCACTATGTTTTTACCTTTTTTTTTCCACCAAATCCTTTAATACTTTATTATAAATCCTTAAAAGTTTGTTTCAAAGTAGCTTCTGTTTTGTAGTTCCCTTTAATTTTGAAATATTCAAAAGAAAAGCAAGTGGGAGATAGTTATTTAATGAAAAACATTATGATCATGTTACTGATTTGTACAAAACAACCATGAGTTAAAGGTATATATATACTCCAACAGTTAAGTATATAGCAAGAATGTAAAAAAGCTGTAGCAACTATAGGAGAATGATTAAATCATTAAGAATCATTTTATAATCCTTAACCACAGTAAACAATGAGAAATGGTTCATACATTCCTGTATTTCACGTGAACTGTATTAAAGGATCAATCCGCATGGAAACTACTGTATTGTCCCTAAGAATCAGACCATTACTCTCTAGTAAAAGTAATCAATTAATGAGTTATCTTAATAGTTGGGCCCAATGTCATTTTCACTAAGATCTTAATGTGTTGTCTGTGATATCTGTGGACTGGGGTCTGTTTTGTAGCTGCCCAAGGAGAGAAGAAGGTGTGAGCAAACAGCAAATTTCCATGGCAGGTTGTTCGGTGTCAGTGCTGCAGGAGGCCAGATCGGGCTTCAAGGGTTGGTTCGAGGGCTGGTTCGCCTTATCTTGGGGGTCCATTTAGCTCCAGCTAATACAGCATGAGCAGCAAACTGGAATGTGCTGTGAGAATGGATGGAGTTCTAAAGGTCCCATTCTCCTGCATCAAGTAGTGATTTAAAGTTACCTGTTACTATACCGATTAGCTTAGAAGTGTGGGTTGCTTAAAAGCAGTCCAGGCAAATGTATCTTTAAATGATGGGTAGTTTATTTATGATTATTTATTTATTTTAATATTCCCAAGCAGTCCTGGAAGAATGTGGGGATAGAAGAGAAAGGCTTAATTCATGAGGGATGTTCATTAAGCTTTTTGTGAGGACATGTGCACTCCTGAAGGTTAAGGATCTGGCATCACTGAAAACATATTAATCAAGAGGCAAGATATAGCACAAAGCGCTCTTCCCAGTGGCCTTGGCTCTGACCCTTTTAAAGATAATGGGAATACTGTCCACTTGGAAGTAGATTAGGGCGATCCAGCGCATTTCATCAGGGCCTGACTTGAACCGTGGTCCCCAGGCAGAGGCAGAGGTTTATCCACGGAGCCTTGTCCAGGTGGGATCTCGGTTATGATCTATTAGGGCAAATTAAGATCAGGGAAGAAAATGGATTGCTTGGGATGGTGGTTGCCTAGTGTGGGACATAAGGACCTCCTAAGCACCCGTTCGTTGCCCCCTTGGGTTCAGGCTGGTTTTCATGAAGGAAGGAGGCTGGCTCGGTGCTGGCTCCTTCACCCCAACGCAGCGATCCTGCGCAGCGGGTTGGTGCAGCACTGGGCGGGCTGCCACGGGCTGACAGCGGAGATAGGCAATACTGCCCTCAATTGTGGACGACGCTCCCCTGGGAGCCACGGGAGTCGGCCCAAACGCGCCGGCCGGCAGCTCGGTGCCACCTGCGCTCCCCGCAGCCCGGCCCAGCCCAGCTGCCATGGCCCCGTCACAAAACTGCAGGCGCCCTTTGGTGGCCTCCTGACCCCCGGTGCGGTGCTACATAGCTTGTTTGAGTCGCAGCCTAGTTCAGGACTTGGTTGTATTTATTTTTCAGCTAGTCATCCTTGTTTGAGCGTGGTCTGAAGATCTCACGGGGCGGTGGGTCTCGCTGCAGACCCTGCAGCCTGTCTGTGCCCCCCTCGCTGCCTCGCAGGCCCTGCCTGGGCCAGGCGGCCCCACACGCACACCCTGCTGGTAGGTGAAGCGCCTCAGCCTGCAACGGGGCTTGGCCAAGGCAGAAACACCAATCATTCTTTTTAATCTTCAGGAAAGGTCTGATTTTATCACTGGGCGAGTAATGTTAAAAATGCATTATTCATATTTCTACAATTTTGTCACATTGCTGCCCGCAGACCTGCAATTTGACAGTACAATACATCCTACGATATTAATTTCCTGATGGTACAAATTCATGTTATGCTCCATAGTGACAGACATCTGAAGTTTGATAAACTAATCCAGTAAATCTGTCACAAGTAGGATGTTCCTAATTAAAATCATTTTGTTTTTAGAGTTAGCATCCGCTCAGCATTTCTTACCACTTGGAATGAGCTAATTATCAGCTGCTGAGCACAATTTATAATGCGTATATGTAATATAGTGTAGTATAATTCCTTCAAAAAAAATACAGTGATGCTAAATCATCTAGTACTGTAAGCTTTTTGAAAGGGTAATTTTGTTCAGAAACAAGGTTTTAGAGGTCAAAAGTGAAGGTACAAGCATCTAGCCAGGGAGAGTCTAGGACATATGTGAGTATTAATTACTTCTAAATTACAACAAAATTATGAGAGAGATTGTTAAAAATAATGAAAAGATCGCAAGATACGTTCCAGGTTGCCTGCTGCATTCTGCAGATCTGAGGTGCGTCGTCCCCAGCGCACCTTGCATGGATGCAACATGATTTGATGACACTGTCCTTCAGGATGAATTCTCAGAAGTATGCAGAAATATAATAATTGGATAAGTTGTGTAAATGGTTCATTTGTGTTTAAAAATGTTTGCTTTTTCCTGTTAAATTGTACATTTTGGTGAATGGCAGCATGAGGGAAAGAAAATGAAAGTTGAGTGGATAGGAATGAATAATTTTACAAAATCTTAACTAGAGAAGAGAGAAATTTTAAAATAAGATCAGAGATGAGTAGTGTGTGACGTTTTGATAGAGAAGTGGGAGCAATGAGCATTTCCACAGACCCTTTTCTGTGAAGTCAATGCACTGCTGAATCAATTTCTGAATATTTTGTTCTTTCACTGGAAAAATGCATAAAATTGCTGTATTTCCAAAGTCTTTTGAAAAAAAAAACGTGTGCTACACTAGACTGGCAAAGGAGGCTACATTGGTCCGTGCCCACATACGTTAATTCTCTAAGGTCATTCCTGCATGCTCATCGCCTTTTTTTGGCCCGAAACTTCATTTCCCTTTCACAGCTGTGAATTCCCAGGTTGGTCCTGCAGATGGGTTTGATGAATGCTGCTAATGTCACCTTCTGCTCTAACGATGCTCCCACTTTGGTCTGTAGGTCTTGATGAGTAATTGCCATTGTTCTACTCCAGTGACCGAATTAAGTCTCCCCGTTTTAGCGGGTTCATCCCGTGGCGCTTTCAGCCGCGGCAGCTCGTTGCAGCCTGCTGATGGACAGTGACCTTTCCAGGGTGCCTCCTTGCTTTAAACTGGAGAGAGCAGAGTTGCCTTGATTTCTACAACTGTCTAAACTCTGTTATAATCCTCTGATTACTGACAAGCTAAATAATCGCCAAATGTATTATTCCAGTTAAGTGTTACCTTTGGCCAGAACCTTCATCACCTTCTTCTTGCTGTGTGGCGTATGAACACTGCATGCTGCAACGCATCTCCCATGCTCCTCCCCCTTTTCATGTTAATATATGTTCCAGGACAGTTTGGGTTCGAAAGGAAAAGGAAGGAAAAACCCTCTTTCAGCAGCTTTTGTGGGCAGATGGAGAAACACTGGTTTCCATAAGCACCTCAGAAGATGTCGGTGCTGCAGCTGACCTGTGCAGCAGCCCTGGGACATCCTCTGTTGCAAATGCTGTCACCCTCCAATGCCAAGTCCTCAGTGCAAAAAACTTCATTGATAAGCAGCAAATTCTCACTCAGAGACAGAGGAAATTCCTTGATAAAATACCAGCAGCTCAAAGATACTACCCTAGATAAAACCTAGGCCCTACATTATCTCTACGGTACAGTATTTTACTTCTAAATGCATTGGTGAGATTGAGTTTGGGAAAAAAACCCTCTTCTGAACTGCCTGTGACATGTAGATTTCAAGTTAACTTACAGCTACAGCATTTTAAAAATCTCTGTGCAATTGCTGGAGTTATCCAAGTGCATTGTGTCACATGCTAAAGGTTTGGTTCCTAAGGATGATCATATAATGAGTAAAATTAAAAGGAACAATACATTGATTTTTTTTTAGGCTTTGAAATGAATTTCTTTGTCATTTTCATGTCATTGAGAGGGAAGAGACATATTTATGATTACCCTTATGGTAATGATATTATTCATGCTGATGTCAAGTATACAGTATGTAAATGAGAAGTTGTCTTGAAAATTGGCATGAATAGAATGTACTTAATATTAAAAAACAATGACATTACCCTGTATATGCTGATACTGAATGGGTCTATATTAATTTTTATTTTCTAAATAAAGCTAATGCTGCAGTACCAAGGAAATCTGCCTCCCCTGTAGCTCCCATAATGCAGACAGAGAAAATGAAGGGAAGCGGTACCTGCACCAGGTCCCACTCCTGCGCCAGGGCTGGCAGACAGAGTTTTGCAGTATTAGCACCTGGTTATGACAAGGACCCAGGAACTCCCCAGCTTTGCACTGATAACTTTGCATTTTGAGGTTACGGGCTTGAATGGAGATTCAAGTGTTCATTAAAAAATAATAAGAGTACTGAAAAGACAATAGTTAAAACAGGGTCATCCCGAGTTTTTGGCATTGTCATTGCTGGTTCAGAGCTAACTCAGAACCTGGAGAAGCCTGGGGACTTGCAGACAATGCAGCACACAATGCAGCCCTGTTCCTATTGTGTGTCACCTCTGTCACCAGTAGCAGCAGCTCATCTGCATAGCAGAGGACACAGCCAAGCATCCAACGCGCGCAAATAAAAATAGTGGTGATATGAGGACTAGCCTGCACGCCTGAGTACTTGGTCCTCTAAACACCTTTAATTCTTAGTCTCCTCATCCGTCCTTTAGTTTCCAGGTATTCTAACAATGTGAATTGAGAACAATTTGAATGAAGGAAATTTTGGACTGTTGAGTTAGCAAGAGGACAATGCATCTATTGAACATCTCCAGCTTCTCGTGAGCAGTTCATACCATTGTGTTCTGGGAAGCATTGTTCTGTTCCATGCCTGCAGCCTTGCGCATCAGAAATGGCCCTTTTCTGAGGCTTCCACTCTCTTACAGTGACATTTTTACTTGGTAAGAGTAAGGGAAGAAAAAGAAGCAGTTGTATTAAAAGTCATTTATTTCAAAGAAAAAAAATTACTGTCATGCTAGATTTTTTTTTCTGTGCTAGGTTCCTACTGAGCCACTAATACTTCTAATGGTGGAGATATTTGGAAAAGGATGGTGACATTTGTTTTTGTAGCCAGTTCATATATATGTGTAAAGTCTACACGGCTCTCTGTGCATGCTTAAACACAGAATCACAGCCAGAAAGCACAGACGTAATGAATCATTTTTTCCTGAAATGTAGATGTGTTGTGAAGCCTTTGAGATTACTTATGTAACAGTAATGGCTGGTCTGAACATACATTTTTTTAGGATTTCCACAGATTTTTATCAGCATTTTTTACAAAGTCTTACATTTGGATATTTTATCAGATTTTTAATATTATTAAATTAATATTATTAAATTAATATTATTAACCGGTATTACTGTGTGCAAAGTGCCTGCAGTGACTTAGGGTGTGGAGTGCGTCCGGGCCGGCGTCGGGCACTGGTGAGAGCTGCTGCAGGCCGAGGAGGCGCAGCCGGGCAGGCCGCCGAGCAGCGGTGCAGGTGGTTCAGGTAGCTGCTTTTCACACCGGTAATTAATGTGTACAAGCAGCTGCTAATTGCACATTTCAGGAATGATTTACGAGGCGGCGGAGGGGGAAGAGGGACACGGTCTGATTTCTCCGGGCACCTCTGCCATCCTGCAGCGGTGTGGGCACAGCTGTGAGGCGGCGGGTGATTGATGGGCAGTGGGCATGGCGCGGGACGCGGCGGCGGCCCCAAGCGCGCGCGGCCCCGCGGGGCATCACGAGCTCTGGCCCCTTGCCCGCACCGAGGCCTAGCTCAGGGCGCCTGTGGCCTTCATGGGGGTTCTAAGCACTGGCTTTGTGCCAACAGCTCTGTGAGATTCATATTCTTTGTGGAGGGAGAACTAATATTTATCTGGGATGTTAAACCTAGAACATCTCTGTTAGACATCTGCTGGTGGGACTCTGCCTTGGCTGCTGCCTATGAGCATGTTCTATGCATGGCTACGTATCTCTTCTCCTGCTATCGGACCTGCACCACCCAAAATAGGTGTACGAAAACACTGCTTGTCTTTGCTCAGGAAGAGTGATTTGCACATCCCCATGTTTATTGTACCTGCTTATCAGGGCTAAAGATAATATGAAGTAATGCAGTACTTCTGCTGACTTTTTTTGTGGGCTGGTTAGCAGGTCAATTTGCTATATTTCTGGTTAATCTTCAGAAAGATTGCTGCTAAATTGGAAGAAATTTAGCCACCTTAAAAGAGCCAGATTACCTGTTACATTGAGGTGAAAGGGGATATTTTTAACACTTTTCTCAATGAACTGTTTATTTATCAGAATAGTTTTGCACTGTGTTCTAAAAATCCATATATACAGGATACACCTCAAATGGCATAATCATAGTCTTTGTTTACTTAATCTGTAATGATTTAATATTTTTAGATTATTTTAACATTAAAGAGTGAGTACTTCTATTTCTGTTTTTTTTATAGCTTTTAGAATTTGACAGAGAGCTGTCAGTCTTTAAAGACAGATTGTATGAACTGGACATCTCGTTTCCTCCCAGGTAAGATTCATATATAATACATATATTTACTTATATTGCTAAAATACAATGCTATATAATCACTGCAGGTAAAATCTGGGTATCCATATATGTGTTGTAGAAATGATCACCGTCTTCGCTTCCTTCATTATGGCTACTCCTATGCACTAAACCCTATTAAAACACTTCATTAAAAAGTTAGTTAGTCTTTGCATCAGTTTGTTGAAAAATGCCTAGAAAGTGAGACTCAGAGAGAGAGAGAGAGAGACTTGCAGGAGTGGCAGTGCAGGGCCATGTTCCATTGCTCAAGGTAGATCAAGAGAAATAGCAAGAAAGAGGACAAGAATGCGGCTTCTCCTTTTTTTTTCCCTTTAGTAAACATGTTATATAGCATAAGACTATTAGAATAATTTGGCTTTTTAAATGCACATATATGATTTTAAACTGATATATCCCCTTAGCTGAATTTTAGCCATGAATAGACAGACACTTAGCAAAACCAAGATTTTTGTAGATTATAATCTATTTGGAAGAAGTCTAATGGAAAATTATCAGATTTCTAAATATGTATGTGCACCTTCCAAGAAGCAAGGAGTCACATCTCATGGTTGCTTTGAGGGAAAGAAATACTCTATTCGCAAAGAAAGTTAATGTAAAGTTACAAGAAACCATGCAAAAGAGACTTTTTGTATATATATATATGTCTAATTGTATCTACGTATATAGATATCTGATAAATCAGATTCTTCAATCTTGATATGTTGTCCTTTAGCAACATGTGATGTTTTGGCATACACTGGGAAAAATTTTGGAAGGCTCGCCTTTCGTTATCATAATCTCATTATTTCTTACCAGCCAGCTGCGATGCTGATTATATTGATCCCTCGGGACACAGGCAGTATGCGTGGAGAGGCTACCGTGCTCTAAATTGTTCTTATTGATTGAGCGTGATAGCAGAAGACAGGCAGTTTGTTCTTCTCTGAGTGTATTTCATTGGTTACATATGTGGTGGGAGGAAAGGAGTTGAGAGGTGGATTTTTTGCTAGAAATACTCTGCCAGTGGATCCCACCAAGTTTATCATATTTATAGCTTTGCTGACCTTAAACATGTGAGCTTAGGTTTTCTTGCCTAATAATGAAAATTCTTGGAAAAATTCAACCAGAGTAGTGCGTCAGTTTGCAAAAAAAAGTGCAAGTGGAAGAAATCCACTGCATCCAGAACAACCCAGGGAAAAAAGAAAAAGGAAAAAAAAAAAAAAAAAAGTAGTTGTCCTATGGATACATGATGCTTCTTTGCCCAAAGCAAGGTGTTAGTAGTCTTTGGGTCAAAGTTCAAACTTTTGCCCTCTCTGTTATGATGAGAACTTTTGGCCAAGTCATGCACAAATAGGTACAATTCTCCACAGAGATTTCTATTATTATTTTAGTGGCCATGCTTCTTGCAGATTGCAGCTGGAATGGACACAATGCAGGATGCAATTGAAGCTACTTGGGGCAACCCCTGTGAGGTTGTGGGCAAGTAAAAGGAGCCACCTTCTCCTGTACTTGTAGCTGGAGCAGGCAGAGGAAACCTGCATGCATGAAACACAGACTGATGAAAAACAGAACCGCATGGAAAGTCGTATCTGTAGTAGAATGGCAAAATAACAAGGAGGGAAAGGAGTAGAGCAGTGCAGCTGTATGAGGGAGGACAGTTTCTTGACTGCTTAAACTGATGTTCGTTGAACAAGGATACTACTGCAGAAATTGGCTGGGATAGAGAACTGGGATTAGAAAAATGGGAGCTGGAAAGAAGGTGGTAGCAAAATGTGAACAGGAATTAGAAGAGGAGGTCCATCAAGAGCTGGAACAGAGGATCTGTGACTAAATGGATGAGGAGCCACATAGGCAGGTGGATGGGCACTAAGGTCCATGATAAGGATCTGAGCAGAAAAGTGGGTTATTGGTAAGAACTAAAAACTGTGGGGAGATGGAGCGAGACATGCAGGAGAAAGGCATAGCTGGGGATCAGCGAAAGGAAGCCTGCGAGCCAGGCTGGGTCTCCAAGCAGGGAGACCAGGACTCACAGAAGAGGAAAACTTCAGCAGGTTGTGTGAGCCAGGCTGGAGAGGAGGAAGGGCTGGATGAGGTGGATGGGGCCCAGCAGGAGAGCGGCATGAAGCTGTAGGAAGTGTGAGATAGCCACTGGACGTGGAGTGTGGCAAGCAGTGGGTCTCCCCTTGCCCTGGTCAGAGCAGGACACTGTGAGGAAAGTGCTGTGGTCTGCCTCATGCCGATCCATGAGGAGGGTGATGGGATGCGGCTCTGCATCTCTGAGAGACACGGTGGGGATCTGCAGGTACTGTGCATATGTGCCACCTGTTGGCATATCTGGAATTTCAGCTTGATTTTCTTTAATCTTGACTATTAGAGGGGAAAGACTGATGAAAATGATGATTACAGATTATAAAGGATTTGCTTCAGGGACAAAGAAAAGAAGTGTTGAGTGTGTAGAGGGCTTCACTTTTTGTTTTGGGCGTTGGAGGCTCAAGCACGTTGGAGTCCCCAGCAGGCTGTGATGCAGCAGTTCTCCCATGGCCAGGAGGAGCTCAGAGATGGCTTAATGGGAGACCGTACAAGGAGATGAAGCCTTGGAGGGAAATGGAAGGTGACAGACAAAGGAATTAGAAGTTAAATTGGGAGTAAATAAGAGAGTTTGTCAAAGCTATAACTAAGAACCGTCAAAGCACTATTGAAACAGCAGCTGGAGTTAATGTGTTTCAGGGGAATGGAAGGGAAGGAGCAAATTAACAGAGCAAGAGGAGCTGAATTAAAATATTAGTCACCCGCATTTATACTCTCTGCTGTCTTGGTATCCCTGACACACGGCGTTAACATCCAAGTGGGGTATTCTGACTCCATTAACATGTTAACCTACTATATCTACTAGAAAAATAGTAAATAAAGTGCTACACTGGAGATGAAACTGCAGTAAAACCTGCAAGAAAGGTGAAAGTGTTGCATCCCCCAAATCCCTGCGTAGTTCAGGCCACAGATGTAACCCAGATTTTGACTTTGTCTTCCTGGTACAAGGACATTGATGACCAAATTCCCTGTAACAGGAGCTAAGTCTTTGCCCGCATGCACTTCACTGCTGCATTTGTTACTTATTTTTGATTTCTTTCAAAGCCAAAGCCAGATTTGGCTCGTGTCCTCGTGATTTCTAACATTGATGTCTAACATTGGTGCATACCACCGATGCTAGAGATGAAGTTGCTCCAACTTGCAGAACAGATGATCCCTGTGTGCAGGTGGGAGCCAGCATCTGAGCACGACCCTTGCCAGGGACCTGCTTCTGGTCTTGGGCAGTGGTCAGGAAAGGGACGAGCTTGCAGGAGCCACGTGCAGCCCCTCTCCAGCACCGAGGGCCACCAAGCCCCAGGCCTGATTTCATTCTGAATCCTCTGAAGGCAGTCTCGTGCCCCCAGGTCCATAGTTCTTGCATTGTCACTGAGTCAGGAGAAGCTTTCCCTAAGGAGAAGTGATGGGGAATGGGAATCACTATCATTTGCTTTCTTACAGGGCAGTGACATTCATGAAGCAGAGCACCTTGATGTTCCTGCAAGAAATAGCAAGGTTTATTTTTAATCCTGTTGAAATATGGGCTTCAATGCACTATAACTGTTAAAACAGATCCTTTGACTAGGCAGAAAGCAATGTCTTTAATGTAAGATATTTTTTATTTTCCTTAGACCCTTTTCACTCAACCAAGAAAGAAATGAAAAATGTGGCCTGTTTTGATCTAATTTACTGGCTGTTTTTTTCCTCCATTTTCCCCTCATTTTTCCTTCTCCCATGGAAAATAGATCAGTAGTTTATCCTGCTTTGGCTGCTTTGCTGTAGTTTTTGTAAATACGAGATTAATATAAGCTAGGTTTGCCGTATCTCCAGTGATAGTTGATTTGGGGTTTTTAACCAGAGAGGGGTCGGCACTGCGTGTGTAGCGGCTGCTTCCTGCAGCAGATCAGGTTCCTGGCTGCAGGTGTCCGGGGCAGGGGCCGTGCGGCCGGCAAAGCCGCCCTCCCCAGGGCACACATCTAGACCCGCTCCCTGCGGCAGCCCTGCGGGCTTGGTAATCAAGCGCCTTGAGGAGGAGGTTGTGAGAGGTTGTGGTGATTAAAGACGTATTTCAGGTTGGTTTTGCTAGTGAATTTGTGTTAACTTTTATGACAGCAAGCACTTAAATATAAAAGCCTTGGCTTTATGAGGTTGAGGAAAAACTTGTTGGACCAAAAGTCCACCTTTATTGTTCCCTTGTGTTTTGTCGTTCTCTTCAAATCCAATGATAGGAGGCTTGCACAGCATTTCTTAATGCAAATGCTAATTGCCCAAGCTTTAGTATGTTTGGACAAATCTCAGTTCTATGATGTTATAATAAATAACCAATTTATCCTATTTTATTTTTTTGTACAAAATGTATAAATACAATTTTATCAAAGATGAGTTTTTTTAAATTGATTTCCCATATTCAAACCAAAAAGATCAGAGGCAACCCTGCTAAGGCAAAGTAATACTAGCCTGTTACTTTAACACAAAATGCAAACCATCTGAGATGCTACGTGATACTCTTTACTCAGGGAGTACATGATACTCAAATAGTTTAATTCTGGTCCATTGATTCAGGCGTAGATTTCTGTCTCTACCTGGGCTCTTGTTCCATAGTGTTACTGCATCATATCTTGCTTCATGAGATGTTGGCCAGAGATCAAGAGCAGAGTATCTCAGTTTAAATGTCACTGAATGTGCTTAATATGGATCCCACATCTCTCAAAAGATAAAAGACCAGTTAGGACAACTATTTTTGACTTTCATTTGCTTCATCATTACTGCATATAATTAGTAACTGACTTGCAACTGGAGTTTTGCAGCTTAATTCCTGGCTCACTTACTTAGATTTTTTCCCTCAAAAAGCTATGTTATGCTCGAGAGTCAATGTGCTCTTGAGATAAACGGGAAAGGTCACATCCTTTTGAGTTGCAATG